CCGGGTCCTCCCGGTGCCCGCCCTCCAGCGCGTCCAGCAGCGTCGTCAGGAAGGTGGCGGGGATCTGCGGCACCGGCACCCGTGCTCACGGGTGCAGTCGCCCGTGCAAAGCCACCGGCACGTGCCAGGCACTCAGGGCACCCATGGGTGGGCACGGGCATACCTTGAAGCGGCTGTTGAGGTTGTGTCGGGTGAAGAGCTCGAAGACGATGGTCCTCAGGGAGTGATCGTCTGTCACCCGGTTCAGCGCGAAGACGTCAAAGCACCACAGGTCGAGGCTCTGGGCGGGGGGGCAGGGGGAGATGGGGCAATGACCCCAGCGCCCGGGCAAGCCCAATGCCCAGTGACACCCAGCCGTGCCCAGGGATGCCAGGCAACCCCCAGCCGTGCCCAGGGATGTTTGGACATGCCCAGGGATGCCCGGACATGCCCAGGGATGCCCAGGGATGCTCGGACGTGCCCAGGGACACCCACTAAAGCCCAGCCATGCCCAGCCATGCCCAAGGATGCTCAGCTGTGCCCAGGGATGCCCGGCTGTGCCCACGGATAGTCAGACATGCCCAGGGATGCCCAAGGATGCTCAGCCATGCCCAGGGATGGTGCCCAGGGATGCCCAGGGATGCTCAGCCGTGCCCAGGGATGCTTGGATGTGCCCAGGGACACCCACTAAAGCCCAGCCATGCCCAGGGACGCCCAGGGAAGCCCAGCCATGCCCAAGGATGCTCAGCTGTGCCCAGGGATGCCCGGCTGTGCCCAGGGATGCTTGGACATGCCCAGGGAAGCCCAGGGATGCTCAGTCGTGCCCAGGGATGGTCAGACATGCCCAGGGATGCCCAAGGATGCTCAGCTGTGCCCAGGGATGCCCGGCTGTGCCCAGGGATGCTTGGACATGCCCAGGGAAGCCCAGGGATGCTCAGTCGTGCCCAGGGATGCCCGGCTGTGCCCAGGGATGCTTGGACATGCCCAGGGAAGCCCAGGGATGCTCAGTCGTGCCCAGGGATGGTCGGACATGCCCAGGGATGCTCGGACATGCCCAGGGATGCCTGGCTGTGCCCATGGATGCCCGGCTGTGCCCAGGGACACCCCCGAGGAGCCGCGCCAGGCCCAGGGATGCTCGGACATGCCCAGGGATGCCTGGCTGTGCCCACGGATGCCCAGCTGTGCCCAGGGATGCCCAGTGAAACCCAGTCATGCCCAGGGATGCTCAGATGTGCCCAGGGATGCCCAGCCATGCCCAGGGACGCCCAGGGAAGCCCAGCCATGCCCAAGGATGCTCAGCTGTCCCCAGGGATGCCCGGCTGTGCCCAGGGATGCTCAGATGTGCCCAGGGATGCCCAGCCATGCCCAGGGATGCCCAGGGAAACCCAGTCATGCCCAGGGATGCTCAGATGTGCCCAGGGATGCCCAGCCATGCCCAGGGATGCCCAGGGAAACCCAGTCATGCCCAGGGATGCTCAGATGTGCCCAGGGATGCCCAGCCATGCCCAGGGATGCCCAGGGAAACCCAGTCATGCCCAGGGATGCTCAGATGTGCCCAGGGATGCCCAGCCATGCCCAGGGATGCTTGGACATGCCCAGGGATGCCCGGCTGTGCCCAGGGATGCTCAGATGTGCCCAGGGACACCCAGGGAAGCCCAGCCATGCCCAAGGATGCTCAGCTGTGCCCAGGGATGCCGGGCTGTGCCCAGGGATACTTGGACATGCCCAGAGAAGCCCAGAGATGCCCAGTGAAGCCCAGCCATGCCCACGGATGCTTGGACATGCCCAGAGAAACCCAGGGATGCCTGGCTGTGCCCAGCCATGCCCAGCCGTGCCCCGTGATGCCCAGCAATGTCCACTGAAGCCCAGCAATTCCAGGTGATGCCCAGCCGTGCCCAGTAAGGACCCAGCCATGCCCAAGCAGCGCTGGGTGCCATCTCCCACAGCTATCCCAGCCCAAATCCCGCAGAGCCAGCAATGTGGGCAGGGGGGCCATGCCCAGGCACGGCCAGGCTGGGGCAGCCTGCCAGCTGGGCAGCATCCTCGGGGGGATATTGGGGTGCCCCCCGCACCCCACGGCAGCTTCAGGCAGTTCAGGACAGAGGTGGAGTAGCTGGGCCCCACGGCCGTGTACGTCCGGCGAAACATCCTGCAAGGGTGGGGGAGTCAGGGCTGATGTGGGTGCTGGGGGACAGATTTGGATTCTGGGGGACAGATCTGGGTGCTCGGGGACTCAGGTGCGTGCTGGGGGACAGATTTAGGTGCTGAGGGACCCACCTGGCTGCTGGGGGACAGCCTGGATGCTGAGGGACAGATTTGGGTGCTGAGGGACAAACCCCGGGGCAAGAGACAGATCTGGGTGCTCGGGGGCTCAGCTGGGTGCTGGGGGACAGATTTGGGTGCCGGGAGACCCACCTGGATGCTGGGGATAGTCCCTGGGTGCTGGGGGACAGATTTGGGTGCTGGGGATAGTTCTTGGGTGCTGGGGATAGTCCCTGGGTGCCACGGGACAGCCCCAACCCATCAGGGACCGCGCCCAGTACTCAGCACCCAGAGCTCATCCTGCACCCGGTACCCAGTACTCAGCACCCAGAGCTCATCCTGCACCCAGCACCCAGAGCTCATCCTGCACCCGGTACCCAGTACTCAGCACCCAGAGCTCATCCTGCACCCGGTACCCAGTACTCAGCACCCAGAGCTCATCCTGCACCCGGTACCCAGTACTCAGCACCCAGAGCTCATCCTGCACCCAGCACCCAGAGCTCATCCTGCACCCGGTACCCAGTACTCAGCACCCAGAGCTCATCCTGCACCCGGTACCCAGTACTCAGCACCCAGAGCTCATCCTGCACCCGGTACCCAGTACTCAGCACCCAGAGCTCATCCTGCACCCAGCACCCAGAGCTCATCCTGCACCCGGTACCCAGTACTCAGCACCCAGAGCTCATCCTGCACCCGGTACCCAGTACTCAGCACCCAGAGCTCATCCTGCACCCGGTACCCAGTACTCAGCACCCAGAGCTCATCCTGCACCCAGCACCCAGAGCTCATCCTGCACCCGGTACCCAGTACTCAGCACCCAGAGCTCATCCTGCACCCGGTACCCAGTACTCAGCACCCAGAGCTCATCCTGCACCCGGTACCCAGTACTCAGCACCCAGAGCTCATCCTGCACCCAGCACCCAGAGCTCATCCTGCACCCGGTACCCAGTACTCAGCACCCAGAGCTCATCCTGCACCCGGTACCCAGTACTCAGCACCCAGAGCTCATCCTGCACCCGGTACCCAGTACTCAGCACCCAGAGCTCATCCTGCACCCAGCACCCAGAGCTCATCCTGCACCCGGTACCCAGTACTCAGCACCCAGAGCTCATCCTGCACCCGGTACCCAGTACTCAGCACCCAGAGCTCATCCTGCACCCGGTACCCAGTACTCAGCACCCAGAGCTCATCCTGCACCCAGCACCCAGAGCTCATCCTGCACCCGGTACCCAGTACTCAGCACCCAGAGCTCATCCTGCACCCGGTACCCAGTACTCAGCACCCAGAGCTCATCCTGCACCCGGTACCCAGTACTCAGCACCCAGAGCTCATCCTGCACCCAGCACCCAGAGCTCATCCTGCACCCGGTACCCAGTACTCAGCACCCAGAGCTCATCCTGCACCCGGTACCCAGTACTCAGCACCCAGAGCTCATCCTGCACCCGGTACCCAGTACTCAGCACCCAGAGCTCATCCTGCACCCAGCACCCAGAGCTCATCCTGCACCCGGTACCCAGTACTCAGCACCCAGAGCTCATCCTGCACCCGGTACCCAGTACTCAGCACCCAGAGCTCATCCTGCACCCGGTACCCAGTACTCAGCACCCAGAGCTCATCCTGCACCCAGCACCCAGAGCTCATCCTGCACCCGGTACCCAGTACTCAGCACCCAGAGCTCATCCTGCACCCGGTACCCAGTACTCAGCACCCAGAGCTCATCCTGCACCCGGTACCCAGTACTCAGCACCCAGAGCTCATCCTGCACCCAGCACCCAGAGCTCATCCTGCACCCGGTACCCAGTACTCAGCACCCAGAGCTCATCCTGCACCCAACACCCAGAGCTCATCCTGCACCCGGTACCCAGTACTCAGCACCCAGAGCTCATCCTGCACCCAGCACCCAGAGCTCATCCTGCACCCGATACCCAGTACTCAGCACCCAGAGCTCATCCTGCACCCAGCACCCAGTACTCAGCACCCAGAGCTCATCCTGCACCCAGTACCCAGTCCCCAAGCACCCAGAGCTCATCCTGCACCCAGCACGGGGAAGGTTTTTTGGGGGAAACTGAGGCACAGCGGGGTGAGGCTGAGCACCCTGACCCTGCTGTGGGTCCCCAGGGTGCAAAGCCACCCCGCCATAGGGCCCCCCCCCCCCGCCTTCCAGGTTTGTCCCTGTCCCCAGGGACGTCCCAGCTGCCGCCGTGGCCCCGCTGACCCCGTGGGCTGGTGGGGACTTTGTCCCTGGTGTCACCCGGGGCCCCGCATGGGGCGGGGAGGGTGACGCGGTGGGGACAGCCACCCCCTGGGTGGGGGACAGGGTGACCCCCAGGCTTCCCCAATGCAGGGAGGGACCTCCCGCACCCCTGCCAACTTCTCGGGGGGAGGGGCCCTCCCCGGTGCTGGGCGCTGAGCTCCAGATGCTGGGTCCAGGATGAGCTCTGGGAGCTGAGCTCTGGGTTTGGGGTGCAGGATGAGCTCTAGGTGGCGGGGGGGCCAAACCCTGGCAGGGGGAGCACCCGGATCTGTGCACATGGTGTGTGTGCACACATGTGTGCATGCACACGTACATGCCTGAATGCACACGTGTGTGCGTGCACGTGCATGCACATGTGTGCATACACACACTCACACGTGCACACACATGCCCAAATACACCTGCAATGTATGTGCACACACACCCGCGCCCACTCACACGTGCACACACACACACGTGCCCAAATACACCTGCAAGGTGCATGCACTTGCACACACGTGCACACACACACCCCCAAATACACCTGCAAGGTCTGTGCACAGACACGTGCACACGCACATGTGCACACACGCATGCACGTGCCCAAATACACCTGCAATGTGCGCACACACACATGTGCCCAAATACACCTGTAATGTGTGTGCACACACACACATGTACACACACGTGCCCAAATACACCTGCAAGGTGCATGCACATGCACACACGTGCACACTCACATGTGCCCAAATACACCTGCAATGTGTGCACACACACACGTGCCCACTCACACATGCACACACGTGCACACACACGTGCCCAAATACACCTGCAAGGCCTGTGCACACAGACACGTGCACACACACATGTGCACACAGACACATGCACATGCCCAAATACACCTGCAAGGTACATGCACACACATGCACACTCACACGTGCCCAAATACACCTGCAAGGTCTGTGCACACACACACACATGTGCCCACTCATATGTGCACACACACACACACGCCCAAATACACCTGCAAGGTACATGCACACACGTGCACACTCACATGTGCCCAAATACACCTGCAAGGTGTGCACACACACACACATGTGCCCACTCATATGTGCACACACACACACACGCCCAAATACACC